ATTTTACATATGTCACGTGTACTAAACGGTGTTAAGAGCAGTTTCATTTTCCTCTTTTTAAAAATTATGCGCGGTGTTTTTCATTACTTCATTTCTCACCTTCACTATGTTGAGAATTCCTTATTATGGAAAAAAATTGAGCGAATATGATTTAAGAATTCAATTCAAAACGAGAGTTATAAAACTAATACAGTTGCTCTTTGGAGTGGCCAAACGTCATGAATGGAACTAATGAGAAGTTAAACTCTAACGGTTTTAAGAGAATAGGAATCTTTAAAAGAACTTACTTTTCTTTCAATTCATTTCATTCTTCATTCATTCATCTCAGGTTTTTTCATATTCTTCAATCCAAACACGATGAGAGATGTGCGAGAATGAGGTAGAAGTTGAAAGAAAATTAACAGTTATACACGGTTCAAATAAAAACATCCTAAATAGATCAATTTGGATGGAAAAAAGGTTTTATAAGAATTACTGAATGTTTCAATCTGTAATTCAAACATAAAAGAAGAATAAGGAGTAATTTTATTGTCGTACTGGAGTTGATATTGCAGACAACTAAAAGATACTGCCATAGTCATGTGAAGAAAAAACTTTTTTTTAATGAAAATTTGGCTATTTTAGGCATGAAGCTTACAGAATGGCTCTCCATTTTTCGCGAAGAAACTCTCACCTTCCAAGTTTATCATGCAGCGCTGAACCAAGTGTGTTTTAGGATTTTATAGTTTGATCTTACCGAACAGTTGAAACAGTTAGAATGGAAAGCACTTCCTAAAGCCTCTACCCATCTGTCTCCGGCTTCAATAGCGAACTTACAGTTCACGCATTTGGTAGTGAACAACATGTTCCAATCTGCAAAATATTAGTTTGTTGAAAATAAGAATGCCGAAAACTACCTGCTTCACAAAACGCTTGACCATTTTCCAGATAGAATGCATTATTACCAAAAGGTTTCTGGCAATGAGTACATGTGAAGCAGGTTGGATGCCATTTTTTCTGCAGAGCGTTTAAACAATCCTATACAAACGATATGAGTGAGAATAAATTGATGCTTTCTTACACTTATGATTGGCTTTGTGCACTTAGAGCATTTCGGTGCAATATATGCTTCAAAACAGCATTCACAGTACTTGTGTCCTCCTTCTTCTACAAATCCACATTCCAACAAGCGGCGTCCACAGTTATTATTCGCACAAATGAAATGTTCTGGACACCAGCTCAAGCCAGAAGCCAAAACAAATGCACCTCTTCAATATTTGAACAACATTAAATTTTTGGTAATTTTAACCAAACCTAATGTGTTGCTTACAAGCTTCACAAAACGCTGTTCTTCCTCCTGTGTGCTGTTGAGACAACTGAAAAGAAAACTGTTATATACTTCAAACAAGAAGAGTTACGTTTCCATTGCCTATTTTGGAAGAAGGATAGATTGATTTTGTCGTACTTTGGTTTTGAAACTCATTATTATGGAAAGAAGAAACTGCCGTATCTGAAACTGGATAACACTCGTTTTCGCTCAAGTAGGCAAATTGGTAAGAAAAGTTAATAGGAGAATATACAAATACATTCATTGAAAACACACACCATCATATGCTTTCAGCTTGTTAGACAATTGCGTGATCAAACGATCAGATGCAACCTCTTTGGCCGTATTAGTGAAATTGCTGCGTGTAATGATTTCTTCAATACCAATATTCGAACTGTAACACAATAACACAAATCACAGAAATACACAGATAACAGTAATGAATATTAAGAATTTAAATCAAAACCTATCAAATGATGGCGAAAGAACCTTGAAACATCTACGCTCGGGAGGTGCAGGTGGGCTTTTATTGCTGCGTGCCGGAGGTAGTGGTGGATAATCTATGAGAGGCTTACTGTCACCGTCAAAATCGGAAGAAGTCTTCAACTCGTTCAGAACCCTCGTTTCTACGGTTTCGGGAGTGTCGAAAGTTCTCAGATATTGAATGGCTGAGTTCAAAAGAAGAGATAATTGATCTTGCTGATCCTCCAGGTCTTGTTGGTGGCGCTCGATACACTCAATAGCCCGCAAACGGTCCTGGTCTTCCATTTCTCGAATATCGTGAATTCTATCGTGTAGAGCCGCGACTATGGCCAGGTCACGTTGACGTTGATCATCCTCACCAATACATCTATCCTCTACTATACCACGCAACGAGTGTCCGCGTTCAGAAACTTCCTCAGACTGTATATTATTGACTCGCATTGAGATCGCTGCTGAAGAAGCGTTCTCTTCGATTTGTTCTTGTTTGGCTTGTTCAACTTCTTCTCTCATCCATTCCTCTTGTTCATCTTCGATAGTTGTGTTTGCGCTTTTACCGAACTCTGAAACATCACCATCATAAGGAGCTGCGGTCAATCTGCTTTCAATATTCGAATCGTCTATGCTTTCATCGCTTCTTCGGGAATTGTCAGTCAGAATATCCGATTCATCAACTATGTGATTAGACTCACTCCAACGTTTCTCTGAATTAACGAAATTTGCAGAAGATTTGAATTCGACTCGCTTTTCACCCGCTCCCCCGATCCGTGATGAGTCATATGGATGTGGTGATGAGTTGAGAACAAATGTTGGATTATCATAATTAGTGCTTAGCTGATCTTCAGTTACAACTTTTATAGTTTTACTAAAATCCATTTGAAAATCTGAGTTGAAAGGAACTCTTCCTCTTCCAGAAGCATTCCGTTCAAACTTTATGACAGGAATAGGTGATGTGCTGCTATCTTGTCTGGATATAACTTTCAAAGAGGTTTGACTTTCCGTGATCTGATTTTCATTAACCGAGCTTTCAAGATCTGCTCTAGTTAACTGGATTTGAGGAATGTCTACGTTGCTGGAGTGCTGAGTTTCTGAACATTCTGATTCGTTACATTTCAAAGTATTATGAGAGCGTTTTTCGTCAGGGTTTGAAAACTGATTGTCTTCACAGTTTCTATCATTCGCTTCACAACTAGAAGTAGAACGGAAGTTATGTTTGACAGGTCCAGAGATAACCGTCCAGTGTATCCCATTTTCTATTCTTGGCTCTACAGCATTTCCATTTGTTCCAGTTAGGGGCGAAAACAGTGTTTTCAAACTCTTTTCTTCTAACAGATCATCAAGATGAAGTTCCAGCTCTTCATTCTTTATGAGATCTTGGAGAGTGACAGACGTTTTTTCTGCTTTAGCTTTTCCAACTGGATCAATTATCCAATAACGGTTAGTAGAAAGATTGTGTGGTGGGGGCCATTGCCGAGGGGATTTAACAGAACGAGGTGACACGGCATCACGCACCGACAAAGGAATTCTAGATTCTGTAAAAAACACAAGGACAAAACTTGGACAAAAAAGACTGACAGGAACACGTACCATTCGAACGAGACGGAGACAAAAGGTTAGTTTTCCTATCGTTAACATTGACGTGTAATTCAGCTGAAGCATAAATGATTTTTGTTAGTTGAGGAAAAGTGAGAAAAAACATACTTTGTGGCAGAGGTGGTGGAGCCTGAACAGGAAGATTCGGAACGTTGTTTGTTGTATTCAAATTATACGAAGACGGCTGACTGCTATTACGGAAATGTTCCGATGAAGAAGATGACGACTTTGTTGTTGTTGTTCGATCACCAGTAAAAACAGAATTTGTAGGAATTCCACGTTGAGCTGGACTGAAAAGAGAGTAATGAACAAAAAGGATCCGAAAATCAAAAATCTTCACCACAAAGTTCAAAAAGACAAAAAAAACTCATCTAGAAGTTCATGTATTTTCGAATAAAAAAGGCATTAATGTCAAAGTACAATAACTTCACGAATATTTTTCAATTTCGTAAGAGTTTCTGCTGAACCCGGTTAGTAATTATATTTCAACTTTAATAATGCATTATTGAAAATTTTTACCAAACCTTATAGGTCCTTGAGTTTTTGGATTTGTCACATTAACGGTGATATGATGGGTATTGATTGACTGCGGAGCAGGTCGTGACAAGTTATCAGGTTGATAGAAAGATCCAGCATTTGCATGAGTTTGATTGGGTCTGATGCTAGTTAGTGGTGCTTGACTGAAACAGCAAATTATTCATGTAAATGATGTCATTTAATTAAAATTATATGATCTTCTGCATAAAACGGTTTTATTGTCCCCCATATGATTAGTGAAATAAAAATTCGGCTCAAAACACCATAACCTTTTCCCGCCTCTTTTTATTTCTTAACATTGCCTTTGTTACTGTTCATTACTTTCAAACTAACAAAATCTTTTAATGAAATTTACTTACACAGCTGTATGGGGATGAAGAGGAGTTTGTCCTGCTGCACCTATCAAATCTTTCTTCTGACGTCCGTGTATATCGCAATAGAATTTATCTGAAAGCAGAAAAAGATGGAATTCAGAAAGCATATAATTCATAATTCTATTAAGACCTATATAAGCTCCTCCCCTAGAGCTCCACCCAATTTCTCTTACTCAACGTTTGTTCGTAGAAGATGCTTGTAAGCCTAGGCTCATTCTCTACTCGTCAAGTTTAAACATCAATTATCCATTTAACAAGCAACTAACTTTCTCCATTGCTTCCCTAATAATTAGCTCACTCAAAAGTAGAACAGCATCATTTTGGAAGTTTCGTCTACTCACTTCTTCCGGACAGTATCCTCTGAGAAGAAAAATGAGTTTATGTTACTAGCATTTAGAAAAGATCTCCATTAGCTCTGCATACTGTTTGAAATGCAATCAATTCTAGGAATTTCCTATGAATATTTCATTTGCTTCTTAATTCATTACTTTTAATTCTAAAAAATACATTTTTCTTGTCTTTTGTTTTTCAAAATAAACCTTCAATTATTTGAATTTTAAATTCTTACTTTCTACAAAATGATGTCCAACATTCTTCAAGCTGTTTCCACAAGTAGCACATTGGAAACAATCAGCGTGTAGATCATGGCCTGCGGCTCTTGCAAGCAAACCTCTGAAATGTTCATACTTCTTCTTTAAATAAAAAAAAAGTCAAATAGAGGTTGTAATCTTTTTTCATAGTTATTTGCTATGCAACTCACAGTATTACTAGCAACCGGATGATGTCTTTTCACCTTACGCATCAATCTCTTAAAAGCAAATAAGAAGAGCTTCAAAACAACAATATATATATATATATATATATATATATATATATATATATAT